GGCGCTCTCAGGTGAAGCCTTCCCCCGCTGGGCTGTGAGAGCGCGCACCAGGCAGCCGCTCCTGCAGTTGCCTCTGCCTCAGTTTCCACACCCGTGATGGAAGTGTGGACTCCTGCTCTCTGAGTGCCTGACGTGGCGTCTGGAGAGTCCTGCTCAAGTAGAAGCGCTGGAGGGAAGGCGTAGGTAGGCTGCTTTGCATTTTAATCGCCGCCCTTTTGCTTGTCTTTAAACATCTGTTTTTCTTGGAACCGACTTGGATTCTCCTTCATCTGAGGCAAGTTTTTAATAGAGAACTTATTAGGGAGACGCATAATGGCTCATCTTTTTGTTCTCACGTTTCTTTAACGCGATGAACCCCTCCCCCCCCCCCAAGAAGAAACGTTTCTCTGAAAGCCCATTTGACAGGAAAGAAAGAAAGAAAAGAAAAGAGAAAAAGGAAAAAGAAAAATCCTTTTCTGCTTCATTGTGTCCTACACTTAAGGACACACAGTGGTCACACAGCTGTCAAGATTTATTAGGAGTTGTGTTGGTTTTTGTTGTTGAATTTGATGGTGTCTGTAGATAAATGTGATGTATGGCCCTTTCCATTATTTTTCTCTGTTTTTTGTTCGATTATGCAATTAGAGAAATAATTTAGTCTATAATTTATCTCTTGGAAAAAGCCTCAGTATTTCTGATCAGTCCCCGGAGAAGCAACCTCTGTTTATATAGTAGCCCTCACACCTGGTTGCCTGACTCAAAATGGGAGTGGAGCCTTTCATTTAGAATACTCAAATCACGTTCTGTAAAAAAGAATGTACGAACTACGCTTGCTAGAGTTTTGGAATGATGCGAACACAATCTTTTACTAAATGTTGAAAATCTGAAGCAAGGAAGTTTTGAATTTTGAGAGATTCAGTTTGGGAGGAAAAATAGCCTGTTTGATACAGCGAATGAAGGGATGCAGAGTGTGAAGTCTGGAGTACAAGCAGAGGCGGTTACCAGGAAAGTTGAAATAAAGAGCAGCGTGTACTTCCCTAACTTCTTGATTCTGGAGATTTTTATTGATAAAATATGTACTGAAATTTGATGTTAGGAGGGGAAAACTGCTGGGCATGGTAGTACATGTCTATAGTCCTGGTACTGGGAGGGTGGAGGCAGAAAACACATGTTAAAGTTTGTCCTTTGTGAGGGGAGTGGACAATGGAGTGGACACATTGGTCCAAGGCAATTCACTTCCTTTGCCTTCACTTCATGCTTAGGCAAACTGTTTTTTGTTTGCTTGTTTATTTTTGTTGTTGTTGCTTGATTTAGTTTTTAGCTTTCTTCTTGAGTGTGGAAAATGTATTTCATGTGTTGGCTAAAACTAGGATTTTCAGATAAAATAAAGAATTCACAGCTAAATGTGAATTTCAGGTAAACACAGAATATGTGGAACATACCTAAACTAAAAAAAAAATTCATCAACTATTTGAAAACAAGGATTAACTCTTTACTTGCTTGTTGTTGCTAACTATGACTGCTTTAGCTCCAACGTATTTGTCTCATTTAAATTAGCACTGGGAGAAAACTAGCCCAAGGCCTAGGATGGAATTGATTCTCTTGTTAAGCTTCACTATTGGGAGCTGCAGATGTGGCTCTGCAGCAGGAGAGTGCTTGGCACACAGGGGCCTTTGTCCCGTCTCCAATGCCAAACAAATGAAATGAAAAGCCAGAATAAAACAATGAAGAATCCTCTTTACTATCAGTTGAACCATCTACTTGAAGGGCATCACTTCTTTACGTGTGTTCTGTTTCCTCTTTTTCCTCGACTAGACGTTGCTTCTTTGCTTTTCTTTCTAGGGATTGAACATAGGGTCTCATACATACTAGGCAACAGCTCCACCACTGATCCATAGCCCACATCCAGTTATGTTCTGTTTTAATTTCACATATGAGTACTGTATTTACATTATCTTCCCCCTTTCCATTCCTTTCTTGGCCCTCCAACTCCCTCTGAAATTAGTGACCTTTTAGTATTTATCATTGTTACACACACACACACACACACACACACGCGCGCACATTTATGAATACAATTTGTTGAGTCCTTTTCATGTTGTTTATATGTATGTATGTTTAAGCCTGACCACTTGAGGTTGGAGGATTGGATCACCTGTCAGGGAGCTTGTTCCTGGAGAAGACTGATTTGCCCTCTTAGTAGCCATTAATTGCCTGTAGCTCTTCATCCAAAGAGGGGGCCTGGTAAAATCTCCCCCGTGCATGTTAGCATGTCAGAAGGTGTGGTCATTGTTCAGGTCTTGTTTAAGAAACCATACCAGGTTTTGCCGCTGCTGCTTCCCTGTCACATGCAGAAAATACCGCCTTGCAGCAGACATCCTGACATCCTGGTCGTTCAGCTCCTCGTCTTCCCACCCTCTCCGCTGATAGCTTCCCTGAGCCACAGTTGGAGGAGGCTGGCTACCCCCCAGTTGGTTGTGTTCTGCATTTTTCTCAGTTGTGGCTTTCTGTCATAGTTTCTGTTTGCCACCAAAAGACGCTTCTTGCTCAGGGGTGAGAGTGAAGCTTACTCGTGGGCGTGAGGATGAGTCTTTACTGTGCAGTTAGAAGTTACGCTGATTTACTCAAGTAGGTTCTCCTCTAGGATCCATGACTCAGGGGTAGTTGGCTAGCTTCATGATATGAGACTTTTGCCTCTTCTGTTGGGCTGCCCGTAAGTCCAGTTCTACGGCACCTTAGTCACTTTGCTGTTGCTGTGAAAAGACATTGTCATGACCAAGGCAACTTGTAAGAGAAATCACCAAACTGGGGACTTGTTATAGTTTCAGAGGGTGAGTCCGGGACCTTTGTGGTGGGGAGCATGGCAGCAGGCAGCCATGGCACTCACTGGAGCAGTAGCTGAGAGCTCAGATTTGATCCTTAGGCATGCGGTGGGTGTGGCTGGGAGTGGGTAGACTGGCTGACTAGGCCTGGTGTGTGCTTTTGAAACCTGACTGTCCAGCCCCAGTGGCACACCTCCTCCATCAAGGCCACACCTCTTAATCCTTCCCCAAACAATTCCGCCAACAAGGACCACACATTCAAATATATGAGCCTATGGGGTCAGTTCTCACTTAGACCTCCACAGCCACTTTGGCACCTTTTGGGATATACTGCCTTTCTGGCCATTGTTGAAGTGTGTAAGTGGTACACCTGAGTAGGATTTTGGTCATTTTCTCCACTGGCAGACTGCCCAGCTCCTTCCAGGACAGAGAGCTGCTCTTTAAGGAAGAAGTTTCTAGGTCATATCCAGTTCGATTCCTCCAAGCGCTGTGTCTGAACTACATGTTGTCATCAGCAAGAAGGAGTTACCTTCAAACTCTGGGAGCAATGTTGTTGTTTTGGGAGTCTCTCAGACTCCCCCGATTGACAACTCCCAAGGGTTTCTTGGATGACTGATCCTCTAGTTTCTGGTAGGTGGTCTATAGTGTCACTCCAAGTGGCACAGCGTCATTTAAATGAATACACACACGTGCACATGCATTATGTATATTCTGTGTAATTTAAGTGGACATAAAATGTCCTGCTTTCCTGCGGCTTTTTCATACATCCTTGATATGATTTCTCTCTCCGCCAGCCTCTCCCTGTGTCTTGTTCTAGTTTTCCTGCATGGTTGTTGAAAACACTGCATTTTCTTTATTATATAGTCCATTGATCTGCATTTCTGTTTTTATGCCAGGACCATGGTGTTTTTTTTTTTTTTAAATGATAGCTCTATAATATATCTTGAAGTTTGGTGTGGCAATCTCTCCAGCTATCCAGGGTCTTTTTTGGTTCAGTATGAATTTTAAGACTTTTAAAATTTCTGTGAAGAATTTCATATGGATTTTGATTGAGATTACAATGAATCTGTGAATTGCTTTTGATAGGATGGTGAATTGCACGATATTAATTCCATCAGTCCATGAGCGTGGGAGGGCTTTCCACTTTCTAGTGTACTTTTCCTTCTCTTTATTTCGAGATCTAAAGTTGTTGCTGTAGAGGTCTTTGCTCTTTGCTTAGGTTTATTCCTAGATATTTTACTTTCCTTGAGGATAATGGGATTGTGCCCAGGATCTCTTTTCTAAGTAATTGTTGTTGGTGTAAGAAAGGGTACTGAATTTTGTAAGTTGATTTTGTATCCAGTCATTTTGCTAAAAGTGTTGATTATTTGTAGAAGTTTACTAATGACATTTCTGGGATCTCCTAAGTATAATGTATCATCTGCAAACCAGTGATATGAACTATTTCCTTCTTAGTATCCCTTTAATTTCTTTGTCTTGCTTTATTGTTTTAGCTAGTGCATGGAGCACTGTGTTGAAAAGGAGTGGGGATAGTGGGCAGCCCTGTCTTAGTCTGATTTCCATGTATTGTTTCGAGTTTTTCTCCATTTAGGGTGATGTTGACTTCGTATTTTAATTTGAAGTCTATTTTGTCATATTAGGATAGGGCCACTTGGCTTGCTTCTTGGTAACATATGCTTAGAATATTGTGTTTGTTTGCTTTGTATTGCTGTGATAACCACAAGATCAAAAACAACTTAAGAAGAAAAGGATTTATTTCGGCTTACAGCTTAAAGTCCATTATGAAGAGATGTCAGGATAGAAAGTCAAGGCAGGAACCTGAAGTCAGGAACTGAAGCAGAGGCCTTGGAGCAGCACTGAGGCCTTGGAGCAGCTTCTGTGGCTTGTTCAGCCTGCTCTGTGATAGCATTCAGGACCACCTGCCCAAGGATAGCACTGCCCACAGTGGGCTGGACTGTCCCACATCAATCATTAATCAAGAATATGCTCCATAGACTTGCGCATAGGCCAATTTGATGGAAACATCTTCTCAATAGAGGTCAAGTTGACAAAACACTAAGCTGTTCAAACATTTTCTCCACCTTTCGTTTTGAGGTGAGTCTTCTCTTCGAAGACAATAGACAGATTTTGCTTCTTAACCCATTTAACAAACCTGTGTCTTTTAGTTGGCGAATTGGGTTATTAATGCTTTAAGTTGTTGTTTTAAAGGTATTTGTTGATGACTGTCTCCTTAGGGTAGGGTTGTTCATTGGTTTTGCTGTTTGTGTTCTTAGTCCTCTCTGTGTTTCAGTAATTATAGTTTCATTTGTTTTCTTTCTGTATTCTTGGGTATGCTTAGTATATTCTGTAGGGTTGGCTTGTGGGAAATGACTTTCTTTATTA